AGAGAGAGAGAGAAGGGAGAGGGGGGAGAATGTCAAAATAAAGTCCGAAACAACAGAGTCATAGACATGCCACTACATCAGGGGCGCCCAATAACTAGATCCGAATATACCAGTAGATTCGGATATACCGCGAAGGGAGTGTCAATGCTTGACAGGCAGATCATTTAAATCCTATTCCACTAGGTGGCAAAAGATGATTATTAAAATTTTAAAAAATCTGTTGAAGAAAATCTTTGTGTCTTTCTTCAATTCCTGCCAGTATATCGTCAACTAAACAGGGGTACATTTTTAGTCAATTTAAACTAGAATATTATTTAATGTCTTCAGGGTAGGTAGCTCACTTCAGTCTGCTGCTGCTTATGATAATAGTAGCGCCAAATCCAAAAAAGTGTGGACACTCCTGCACTAAATTACATAACGTGAGGGGAATTTGGTGGATTGAAAAAAAAAAAGAAAAAGACAGGTCTGTCCTCTGTCCAGAGGAGGGACAGAGGACAGACCAGCTGTTTGAAAAAAGTCCAGGAACCAGCAACTGGAATCGTAATATAACAATAAATGTTTAGGTTGAAAGTGCAGCTGAGAGTTCTGGTTTAATAAGTAACCGTTAGATCAAGTAAAAAAAAAACAAAAAAAACAACATTCTGACGGAACACTGTTCTAACTATTGTTCCTTGAGCCGTTCTTGACTTCACATTTACTCCGTCCAACCTTTGGATTACCCCATAAATAAATCAACAGAAGAGTGCTTTTAAAACACTGGTCTAACGATTACCTCAGCAACAACAACGACAACAACAACGACAACAACAACGACGACAACACTTTCCTGGTCGGATGCTGACAGAGGACAGTGAACGCCTCCTTCCCTTCCTGTGAATGTGCGCCGTCAGCAGGAGGGGTTTCAAACACATTACTGTTTGGATCACTTTGCTGACGAGAGCCCATCACTGATTCACAACTGTTCTTCTGCCACACCAATAAAAGCACGTGTCATAAAAAATATAATGACCTTCTAGTTGGAATTTACGCACAATTTTTTTATACTCAGTTTGAAACCCGGGCCTGTTTAGTTGAACACAACGCTAACGCTGGTCACAGGAATTAAAAAAAGAGACACAAAGTCTCTCACTTTAGTTGGTTTTATAGACATTTGCTGACCCTTAGTGGAAGAGTATTTCATTGTTCTTACATATCGTATAATGGACAATTTTGGAAAATAAGATCTGTTAGGGTTCAGACAGGAAGTACCATCTGGGTGAACAAATATTTAAAAAACAATAGTAGCTATTCAGTGCGCGGCTAATGCTACGCAGCACGGAGTAGAAAGAGGCAGATGGGATGGTTTTCAAAATCTGCTGACATTTCGGGAACTTGGGTCTCAAAGGAGGATTTCAAGAAAATGGCAAAAAAAAACTTTCTAGGTAAAAATACATCATCGGTGTCAAAGGTCGGAGACGAGCATGTACAGACTGGTCTGGGGTTGGTGCATTTCTGGATATTATCGTGAGAAGTTCGTTTATGCGCAACTTTGTGAATTCTTAACCCCCGCGAAGGTCATCTCCTAGAAAGGTCTGCTACGAGTCTAAGTCTGAGGTTCGAGTCCTGCTCTGGACCAGCGGCACAGGCCTGTGATAATGGGGCATTGGTGCGGGGGAATGTTCCTTTAAGTCGAATGTGACCTGTACTAGACAAGACTGACTGGAATAGTCAACTATATCATCGTTGACTGTAACTTCGAATGTACTGTTCTTTAAAGGACTTCCACGGTCCACAGAACTCAATCCACCGCCGCGTCTTAACACCGACGACGGTACAGCCTATCAACCCGGAGCGCCTCCGTGACGCTACCGCTGTCCAAAAGAACCGAAACGGATCCCGCGAATGTGTTTATTAATAACGTTGACTTGATCAAATCAAAACAATGTGACGTTCAAATACCGAACGTCGGGTTTCAACGCGAATGAGCTCGTATGTTTTGGTGCCAAGTATAAAACATTGTCTTATTAACATTAATCAGTATTTAAAAATAATTTACATCGATAAAACCGTCAGTGTCATTAACGTAACCGTATATATCCTTCATCTTCCTCGCTAGTACCATCACAGCTCATCAGCTTTGTCTCTCGGAGTCGCTAAAAGAACCGTTAGCCTGGTTAGCTTGTTTCCAGCTAGCTGTTAAGCTCGCGCTTTAGCATTTCTTCTGCCCTGACACTTGGTTGTATCTCGTTTTTTTTTTTTTTTTTTTAGAAATTAAACCTGTATTTGGTAACAACGTTTGCAAGACGGGGTGTACACGGTGACGAAATAAGCCTTACCTTCAGTCTGCTTCAGTCCTCCTCACCCTGACAACCTTGGTTTCCTTTTTAATGGGACTGTTTTCTCAAGATGCTGCTGACGTCATCAACAATTACCGCCTCAGCGTTTCAAAATAATACTTCTACCGGATGGGATTTCGTTTAAGATTGAATTATATTTCGATTACAGGTATTGCGATTTAAAGTTAAAAAAAACAAAAACAAAAAAAAACAAGGAATATTTATAAAATAAATAAATCGATGTGGTTAGCATGATGGTTGTACAAGCTCCAAAGTGACGACAGACAAACGACAGATAAACAAACAAACAAAAAACCGTTAAATTATGTCATTTTAATTGTGTAATGTTAGCTAAATAAATAAATATAATAAATACTCCACAATAAGACTGAAGCTTTAATTAGTCCTTTTAGTCTTTGCTGCCACCAGAGGGCAGCGTTGCAGTAATGCAGGACTTCTACTGTAATACCGTAATGCCCAATAAAGAGGATTCAGCAGCGTCTGAGTTATGGACAATAATTAGCTGAGTCCCAACTGGTTCAGCTAGCGCCACCTGTTTGTCAGAGGGTTAACTGCTTTCACATTAAAGCAGTAAAAATTCCAAATAAAAAATAAAATAAAATAGACAACTGGAGCTTGAACCATTCTGACATTTATAAGAAAATGTAAAATTGTGAAAACAACAAAATGTGGGCGTGTCCTGTATCGCTCCAACAGACGACGGAAAACCAGGTTTCCGATATGACATTCTTCAGTAATCTGTAGGGATTTTAAAGATTAATGCACAGACTACACACGGCCGACACGCATGTTCCGGAAGCATCGGTTCTAATCGCTAATGCCTTTGTCTTTACGTCCACTCAACAGATGCATGAACCAGAGATTAGGTCACAAACGTCAGTGAGACTAAGGGAAGTTTCTTGAAGGGGAATTTGTCCAGATATGGATAACGTGGTGTCATGTGATCAGATCAGCCGGGGATCAGAGTATTTACATGTGCGCTGAGCTCCGGATCGACTCAGTCAGCATTATTAATGGGGCCAGGGCACATCCTCCTCCTGTCACGGGAGTGGGGGGAGCAAGAGCGGGGTATTAGACCACAGTAATGTTGGCAGGTGGAACTCCTCAGCGTGCTTAGTTGACTGAGGGGGATCAACATGGGGAGCACCAGCAAGGTGGTCACCTTCAGGAACAGGAGACAGAGCCTCTTCCCCAACTACAAGGTCACCGACTCCAAAAGTCCGCGAAGACCCTCTGAGGTCGTCTACCCTCTGGCCAAGGAGAGCTGCGTCAAGACATGGAACTCCATGCAGGAGCTCAGCAGAGACATCTACGACATTTACGCCGAGTACAGGGAGGACGAAGACGACGACGACATGAGGCAGATTTCTCCGTCCAAGAGGAACTACATGATCAACATCAACGTAGGAGGAAAGCCCTACCAGATCTCCTACAACATGGCCGCCATGTACCCCAAAACCAGAATAGGACGGCTGGCCACCTACACCGATCACAACATGAAGCTGGACTTGTGTGACGATTACACCGTGACCAACAACGAGTACTTCTTCGACCGGGACCCGGACATCTTCCACAGCATCTTCAACTTCCACCGGACCGGTGTGCTGTGGATCAAAGACGAGCTGTGTCCCCGCAACTTCCTGGAAGAAATCAACTACTGGGGCGTGAGGATCAAGAACACGCACCGCTGCTGCCGCATCTCCTTCGAGGAGCGGCAGGATGAGCTGAACGAGCAGCTGAAGATCCAGAGGGAACTGGAGGCCGAGATGGAGATCGAGGAGGACGAGGAGCTGTTCCACGACATGTTCTTGGGCCAGAGGCGCCGAGCCATCTGGAACCTGATGGAGAAACCCTTCTCCTCTGTGAAGGCCAAGCTGATGGCCGTGGCCTCCAGCCTGTTTGTCCTGATCTCCCTGGTGGCCATGACCATGAACACGGTGGAGGAGATGCAGTACAGGACCCCTAGTGGTCAGCTGAGCGGTAAGACCTACTGGGAGTACGTGGAGTCCATGTGCATCACCTTCTTCACCGTGGAGTACCTCCTCCGTCTGGTGTCCACCCCAGACATCAAGACCTTCAGCCGGAGCGTCCTCAACACCGTGGACTTGATCGCCATCCTGCCTCAGTACCTGCAGGGCGTGCTGGAGTTCTTCGACAACGAGGAAAACTACATGAAGCACGAAGCCGACATGCAGGCGGTGGGCCAGGTGGGGAAGCTGGGGCAGGTGCTGAGGATCATGAGACTCATGAGAATTTTTCGCATTTTGAAACTGGCCCGACACTCCACCGGCCTGCGGGCCTTTGGTTTCACGCTGCGTCAGTGCTACCAGCAGGTGGGGTGCCTGTTCCTCTTCATCACCATGGGCATCTTCAGCTTCTCTGCCATGGTATACACTGTGGAGCACGACATGCCGCAGACGAACTTCACCAGTATTCCTCATGCCTGGTGGTGGGCAGCTGTAAGTAGTTGAAAAAAGTGGTCTCTCGTCAACGCTCCTCTATAGGGGGGGCTAACACTCACCCAATTTGAAAAACCCCCTGACTTAAGCTAAACTGCCCCCTTCCACCTCCGCGACCCCTCCCGCCTGCTGTACCTCTGAATAAATGCAGTAACAGATTGTCTGGACAAACAGCAGAATCCTAACCTTAATCCCGGGGAAGGAAATGATTATCTGCAATATCGTAGTACGACCACCGCCGAGGCAGCAAGATGGCTGACAGAAAAAAAAAAGATTGACAACGTTGACTTGTCTTTTTTTTCTTTAATATTTCTGTCTGGTTTTGAAATTGATAACAAGGCCCTGTAATTTAGTTATATAAGGCAGGGGTCTCCAACCTCTGGTCCGGGGACCAGTGCTGGTCCATAGATCATTTGGTAGCGGGACACAGTAAAAAAAAAAGTTCTTCAGTTTTACTAATTCAAAACGAATCCAGTCATATCGATTTTAATGTCAGTATTTCTGAACAACAGGTCAAAGGTCATACAGACTCCGATGCTAACAGACGAAGGTCTAAAAGACGTTTTATTTTGAAAATTTAATGATCTTTCAACAACGGTGTGGTATTACAGTAACGGCCAACCGGGGACCGATGGCATCAGGCTAGCCGACTCCAAATTTGAATTTTAAACATTTTTATTATTATTAGATGACAGTGTGAGTCACGTGATCTCTGTTCACCCCACAGGTCAGCATCTCCACCGTGGGCTATGGTGACGTTTACCCGGAGACCATCCTGGGCCGAGTCTTCGCATTCGTCTGCATTGCGTTCGGCATCATCCTGAACGGTCTGCCCATATCCATTCTCTTCAACAAGTTCTCCGACTACTACTCCAAACTCAAGTCCAATCAGTACACGGCCTCGCTGAAGAACCGGGGCGAGGTGAGGTTCGCCAGGAGGACACTCAACAAACTGAGCTACTGGTTTGGGAACCAGCAGTGACGTTATCAAGGACAAATGGACACAGTAAAAACTTAGTCGCCATGGAGACGGAATAAACAAAGACACGTCCCCGCCGATTTTCACCTTTGCTTTGTTCCGAATTTTTTTTTCTTTTAAATTTATATCAGCAGAGAACAATAAAAAATTGAAAAAGTTTATTTATTTTTTATGTGTTATTTTTTATATCTATTCAAAGTAAATAAACATTCCTAAATGTGACAAAAATTCTTTCTGGGCGAGAATATATCATATAACGGCAGCTAGAGGTCAGTGTTTCTCACCTGTTTTTATCTGTGACTGATCCAAACGATGGAAATAATAATACACTAAAATGAAAGGAAACATTTTAAGATATCGTGCATCCTGACGGTAAATTGAAGAACGTATCGACAGACGCTCTCGAAACTTCACTGACAGAGCGAGGGAGAGAGGAAGAGGGGAGGGGGGGAGGGCAGGGGGAGTAATGTGGGAGAGAGTGGACAGCCGCGGTGGTCGGTGGTCACACTGTCGTCGTCTATTCTGTCAATTCCACAACAGGACGAACCTTCGCTGTGATTTGCTCTTCGTTTACAAGCCCCGCCTTCGAAGCAACAAACCTCTGATTGGCCGACGTTCCTCCTTCCACATTGTTATTGTTAGTTTCCTTTTTTTGTAGTTTATCCTCCGATTACTGCGATCCGTCACAACATTTAGCGCCGCTTTACTGTCAAATATAGTTGGAAGGAAGCTATTGACGCAGTATTTAATTACAGTTTTAACATAATTATTATAATAATAAGTCGTTTGGAATAATTTGTATTTATATACGACGAATGAACATTTAATTAGCACAAAGCTATCTAGCTCTAGCTAGCTAGCCTTTTATGTGTACACACTACAGACGGTTATTTCCGGTGTACAGCTCTGCTGCTTTTATATTACGTTAAAAAACTAGAGAAAACCGTGTATATGTATTAATATTTCAAGCCAGAAGGGGGCAGCAAGCGAACCGTGAGCTCGTCGGCAGCACTCGGCGCAGCAAAAGTAGATCTTACCCTTTCCCGTCGTCCCCTGCGGTGATAAAGTGACCTCTGCTGCTAGCAGTTAGCCTCGCTCATCACAATGTCTCCTCCGGTTGCGGTGTCGCCTTTGATTAAGGTTTGTATTTTTCTTATTAATTTTTTTTAAGTCAACATTTTAAACAACCTCAGTGTTTTTGTCGTAGTTTGTCAGCTGAACGGAGAACGCTAACGTGCTAATTTATAGCCGGGTAGCATGCCGACAAAACATGGCTAGTTTCTTAGCAAGGTGACATGAATTGAATGAATGTCGGTGTTTTGAGTGGATTTACACAGTTGTACATTTTCTGTTAGTGTCATTTTTTAAAAGAAAAACTATATATATTTATGTAGTATTCATAAGTAAGAAGTAAGAAAAATAACGGAAGGGAAATGTTGTCGTTTTGAAACACTATAGCTGAACACATGAATATTAATTATGTAAAACGGAGCTACAACATCGACGTCAGTAGTAAAGAAAAAAACGCCGTAGTTTATTTATTAATAACCGTCTTTAAATTACGCTCTAATGTACGTGTTTTTGTTTGTTTTTTTCTCTCCTTGCAGACAGCCAGGTATTCAGCTCTGATTCTGGGTGTCGTCTACGGCAAGATGAGATACAGTGAGTTCTTGTTAACATTTTAGTAAACATATTGTAAAGCATTGATTAACCTACGTTATTAACCTTGTGTTGACTTCACCGAGGTCAGCCATGTTCTCCATTAACGGCTCCATTTTACCAAACACCGTTTTATTAATATTTTGTTAAGGCCTTAACGCAAAGGAAAGGTTGTTGTTCTTTTTAAAATTAGCAAATAAATTAGTGTTTACTCAATAATTAGTTCTTCTAGATAAAGTTCGTTACATTGGACTTTATTATATATATATTAATATAATGTTGTTAATATATATTATTGACGAACATGAGTGAAGCCTGGAGCCTCAAAGTGTTTTTTTTATTTTATTTTTTTCAGGCTACCTGAAGCCCATCGCTGCTGAGGAGAGGAGGATTGAAGAGGAGGAGAGGAAGGTCCGCGAGGAGCAGGAGCGCCTAGCCAAGTTGGCAGAAGGTAGTTTTTTTTTACCTCCTTCACTATAATTATATAAATAATTATTCACTCATTTTCAATTTGATTTTGCAGCAAACGAAGACACCATCCTGAAGTAAGGCTGTGATGGTGTGACTCCCGACCTCTTCCTCCTCCTCTTTCTTCTCTTCTCTGGAGGCGCCAATGTTAAACCCGGGTTCTGGTCCGTTCAGTACTGTGGACGTGTTGGACCAGTTCCCGGACTCCTCTTTATTCCGACATAGAACAGTTTAATTTCCATGTCAGCTGTAATTTCACCCTCATGAGGTGTTGTTTATTTTTTAAACCTTGTCATTAATACAGAAGTCTACAATCACTGCTGTGTTTGTCTTCATATGACTGTGAACATTTAAGTAATTTCCAAAAAAACAAAAAAACAGCTGAGGTTCAGACCTTGGTTCAGAACTTTAATATAAAACATTTTGATCTGTAGAAAAAAAAAATCAAGTTAAAAAAAAACCAGAAATAGATCTGAATTTGTGTATTACTGCAGTATTTCATTTTCTTCTACTGCGCCTCCAAATACTTCTCTGGCAGAGAATACGGTCCAGGTCTGGCCCAGTAGTCCACGGCCCGGACTCTATACAGACCGTCCACCTCGCCGTCCACTAAAAACAACAAGAACAACAGGGGTCAACGGTGTTGACCGACTGTCTGTAGGTCGTGCGTCGCCATGACAACGGTAACGACTGTAGAGAGACAACGGAGTTCTGACCTGGTGAGAAAACGTACGAAGTGAAAACACTGTCACGGTCGTTGATCCTGCGGAAGCTCTGTCGATCGGACGAGAATTCGACTTCGTATGTACCGATGCACCTGGACGGACAAACGCAGGAGAGGGCGTGATCAAGGAAATGTGTGTGTGTGTGTGTGTATATATATATATGTACTGTATATATGTATATATACACGTATGTATATGTATATATACGTGTATATATGTATATATATGTATATATGTTTATGTATGTATATACAGTATATGTATAGATATATATGTTTATATATGTATGTATGTATATATATAAATATATAAATACACACATATATATATAAATACACATATATTCAGGTAAGTTTTCTTACTTGGAGTTGTCACAGTGACTCGACCACACGATCAGGACTTGACCTTTGGTGACCTTAATGAAGCGAAGTCCATTGACCTGGTGAAACACGTGTGACACAGATCATCACTGACCTCCATCTGACCTCCGTCAACTCGTCCTCAAACACTGACCTAATAATGACCCACGGTCTGAGGTACCTGGTTCGGTGCCACGGTACTCACCTGGTCCGGCGCAGCTGTGGGCCGAGCACAGACATGGACGAGGAGGACCGAGGGAACAGGCAGCCTGGCCTTCAGCGTCAGAGGTTCTCCTACAGGAACGTCCCAGGGTCCATCGACACGGGGGTCCTGAAACGACACGACGTCACAGCATTGGGTTAAAGCTCGCGGCTCGAACCAGGTGTGGTTCAAACTATGGCCCGGGGGGCCGGATGTGGCCGATTTGGCTCGCCCGAAATATTACATAAAATATTAATTTATATTATCATCAAATGTCTGCCTTTACCCTGTAATGCCTGTTTTTCACCAACAGATGGCATAGAAAAAGGCTAGAAGCCCGTTAGAGTTTGAAAGGTTGTTGGAAAACCAATAACGATTCTAACATGACCCACAGACTGACCTCCGTTTGTCTGAGTCGTCTGAACTGCTGGGGTGTGGGATAGACCGGGCGGCCCATGTTCTGCCACTGCTGATATGGGCTGCTAACGTTGTTGTCCATGTAGTACGTGACGTACCTGAGACCTGAGACAGGACCGGTGTCAAGCAGAGTCACTCCGAGAAAAACGTGGGTAAAAAAAATACAAATTCGAACTCACCCTTCTGTGGGGGGAGACCTTTGACCCTCACTGTGACATCATCCGTGTCGGTGGACGCGTCGCTGTCGTCACTGTTGTACAGTAACACCGTCGTCTGCCAGCCGTCTGAGCCTCCGGGCACCAGGGGTTTGTGGGTACTGGCTAGGACGCCCACGGTGACAACACCGCTTCCCCTCATGTTGAGAACCTCAGCCAGGACCTGGGTCTCTCCTGTATGTTGAATACAAGACAAGGAAGATGTCCCGGGTATGAACATGTACCATGGGTACCATGGGTGGGTACCATGGGTAGGAAACAAGAACCAGGTGGAGAACGACGTTTACTCTCTGCTCCAATTTTTTTCCCTTTTAAGTGTAGAAAGAAAAATGTAAAGAATTAGAAGACCGCACCGATCAGCGTTGAACACTAGGGGAGTAACGATGCATCGTCAATCCGTTAAAAATCAAAAATATGTGAGAATTCTCATCAGTTGAAATAAAAAAATCTCACATATCTCAAAAAAAAAAAAATCACTGGTCATACCATGACACTACACACTCCAGTACAGTAGGTGGCGGTATGCGCCTAAAAACGTTGGTCGTGACCCGCTATTAAACCCAGATGTCAGGTCCCTATGTAGGCTAGGAGATGTTCAGGTGTCGAAACAGAACGTGGGAAGAACTTGTTCAACGGTGTTCTCCAGAGTTCCTGTAAAGAACGGTAGCACGTGTAGTTACCTAGCAGAGCCAGCAGGCCCATGACGTTCAGAACGGGTTTCCTGATCAGCTGGACGTGAGCGGGTCGAGTGTTGTTGACCTGGAACCTGGCGGTCAGCGTCCGCTGAGTGAAGTGGTGAGGATGGTAACTGAGGAAGGCGTTGTCGTTGCTGAGCAGAGTGTAGTTAATGCTGGTGTTGGAGTTGCTCAGCAACAGTTCCTGGTGCTGGTTTATTACCTGGAACCAGGAACACAATCAGTGACCAGTTAGGATTCATAAAAATACTCACGATTGGCTAATGCTGTACAGTATTCAGTCATACTGTGCTAAAGTACGTAAATATATTAGTTATGTTGATTCAACTAATGCATTGTTTATTTCTACTACGCCCTCTTCGGGTTGTGTGCAGTACTGTGCAAACGTCAAACACGAGAAAATGCGTGAATATAAATTACATTTTCATCATTAAATAATAATAACCGTAAAGTTACCATTTTAAATGGAAGTGAACGAACAGAGGAAAAAAATACCTTATGAACTAGCGCACCGCTAACACAATTATCGCTAAGCAGCTAATGCTAACCGCTGAAATACAGCATTCTACTGGTTAAACTGCCTACATACGTAAAATAACGACATGGTGGAAAAACAACAGTGTAAGTGAATCATGGCACAGGGCTTTTCGAACGTGTGCGTAGCACCATCTACTGGCCACGAAAAGGAACTACATGCTGCCAAACACTAGTAAACCAAACGGCAGATTTTTACTGACATTTACATCATAACTTAGTCAGGAAGCTAACTTGGCTAATTGGGCTAATGTTGAAACACTGCACTGTTTCAACTGACGTTACCTTCCTGACGTCGGTGGAAATGTAGACAAATATATATTTATACATACTGTATATATATATATATACATATATATATGGATATATATATATATACATATATATATGTATGTATGTATGTATGTATATATATGTAATATTTTATAGGTACCAATAATATATATACTGTATATATATATACACATACATATATACACATATATACATACACATATGTACATACACTAAAAATATATTATATATATATATATATATATATTTATGTATATACAGTATATATATTATTGGTACCTATAAAATATTACATATATATACATACATACATACATATATATATGTATATATATATATATATACAGTATATATATATATATATATTTATGTATATACAGTATATATATTATTGGTACCTATAAAATATTACATATATATACATACATACATACATATATATATGTATATATATATATATATACAGTATATATATATATATATACAGTATATATATATATTTTTTTTTATGTTACCCTCTTTTCTGTTTTCCCTCCCTCCACCTCACCTTCACCACCATGGCAGCGTAGGTCACGTCCGTCCTCCATTCCTGAGGCGTGGACCAGCCCACCAGAGGATCGGCCTCGTCGTTGTAGACGGGGATTCCATCAAACTTCGGGAAACGCTCCATGATCTCCCCCACAGTCTGGACCTCCTGCTGCAGGATAGGCAGAGAGTAGCCTCCCCCCTTGAGGAGAGACACAGACCGATCATTTGAGTCAGTAGTCACAGACGTCTGATGGTAAAGGGACGATGACGAATGAAGGAGTCGTCCACCTTCTTATGCAGGGCGATGAAGTCCAGCCTAACGCCGGTCTCCCCGGTGAAGAAGTTGGTGCCATTGTAGCAGTGCTGCAGCATGGCCCAGCAGTACGGGGAGTGGGGGGGTGGATGACAGGAATCTCCAGGACCCCCGAACCTGAGGAGAGGGCTGGCGTCTCGCAGACCCTCAGAACAGGCATCGTAGTAGTTCAGGAACCCTGGAGTGAGAACAACTGCGGTACTTCATAATGTTCAATAAAGATTGAACATGCTAGCAGGCCGGTTTTGGCCCCACGACCCGTACGTTTGGCACCTTTAGGGAGTAGGGTCGGGGGATATGACTTGATACCTTGGATGGACACCGTCACGTTGTCGAAGTCCTTGTTGTTGGGTTCATTCCAGGTTTCGAAGTTCCACTCAGAAACTGGGCCTAACCCGTATTTACCTGTGGACGACATCGGAAACAACAGAAGTGTTGACGACACAGAGCAGGCTGACTGCTGAGTTAGTGGCCCACTCACCGATGTACCTCTGGGCAACCAAGGAAACCAGGTTCTTCCACTCCAGCACCTGTGATTTATCCTCAAAGTCGGTGAAGAAGTTGGAGACGCTGCCCATCAGCTCGAAACCTGAGAAAATGAAAACAACGACACAACACTCCACTGTGACCCATGACCTAAACACAGACCAATGACCGGGTGGATGGCGGTTCTGGACCTGGTCTCAGTCCGTTGATGGTCAGCAGGTCTATCAGTTGGTCCAGTTTGGTGAAGTCGTACTGAGGTCGTCCGTCGATGTTCCTGCGCCGGGGTCAAAGACGAACAAAGCTTCTTTTGAGTTCTAATCGATTCTTATTTATTGAATGACTTTCCTGTTCTAACTAATGTCCGATGTCATCACCCGATGTTAGCACAATTATGTCATATAAGAATCGTTATCGGTTTTTCCACCAATAATGGAAATTTATACCCGATAACACAATGCCCGAGTTTCGCCAAATGATGTGTGCCCTAAAAAGAGGTTTGGGGATAAATGTCACTAGAAAGTCACTTTCACTAGATGTCACTAGATGGCAGTATTGCAACTCATTTAATTTATCCATTTCAGAAGGCTGGTGCTAGCAACTCATACAGCGGTTTCTACAGATAAATAAATAAATAAATATTACCATGCCAATATCTGTATCGGTCGATATCGGAATCGGAAATTAAGTTTTTTTGGACAATTTCGGCAAAATGTTAATATCGAAGATCTCTAGTTTTGCCACATTTAACAGTATTTATTTTAAATTTAATCAGGTTGCTCAACCAAATATTCATTTTTTTTTAATCAATTCTTATCGTTTGTCATCGTGGTTTTTAATACAATCGTTTAGGATTTTTACTTCCTGTACGTCAGGTATCGTTCAGTATCGTTAGCATATTTACTCACTGTGCAGTGACCAGCTCCAACATCCAGTGTATTCTGACCTGCTGGATCCCACCGTATGGAACGGAGCCCACGTAGGCCAGGTTCAGCTGTTGGTCCACACTCAGGTCGAACTGGTCGGCCTGGCTGTGAGGCAGAGGAGGGCTGGACATAAACAGAAGTTCTGGATCAGTTCTCCAACTCTGACAGAAAAGATGGGGCTAACGACTGCTGGAGCAAATCCAAAATCCAGCGCCCTCTTGTGTCACAGAGGACGCATTTCATTAAAAATATAAAAACAAAGCTAATTTTTCTTTTAAAAAAATTCAAAAACTCACCAGAATCCAGTGCTTCTCCAGAAGTGCTTCAGACTTCCCAGCGGTTTCCCAGCGTCCACCGTAATCCCATAGGAATCTGCAGAGATTTCGCCGACGCTGAGGACCAACGTGAGGAGGGAGAGAACGTGACGGTGCATTTCCGGGTCCGCAGAGACGACAACGAACCGTGAAAACTCGGTAAAACCGTCAACCTTTCTCCGACATGACTTCTAAAGTGTCAACACAACGACGTTAACACAACTTTAACCACAGACGCCGCGGTGACGAATCAGTTACGATGACGTACATTTCACGCGACGCGGGAACAATCCTGAAAATAATTGTTCCCAAGTTTACCGACTAACCGTAAGTATTAAAACAACCTGTGACAAATCTGGAGACATTTATTAATGTTGTTAAAAAATTTGGGGTGACGTTTGAGAAGTTTACGTACTTCCGCGTTGAAGCATTTCCGGGTCCGCAGAGACAACACAAAAACGAACCGTGAAAACTCGATAAAACCGTCAACCTTTCTCCGACATGACTGCTAAAGCGTCAAAATAACGACGATAACAACAAAAATACGTCCAATGTTAACACAATTTTAACCACAGACGCCGCTGTGAGTTGTTGTGATGACGTACATTCCACGCGACGCGGTAACAATCCTGAAAAGAATTGTTCCCAAGTTTACCGACTAAGACGATAAACCGTAAGTATTAAAATCAACCTGTGACAAATCTGGAGACATTTATTAATGTTGTTACAATATAGTTTTGTATAAAAAGTCGTGGGTAATGACGTTAGTGAAGTTTATAGACTTGACCAGGAGCTGTTAATGGGACATTTATTTTCTTTTAAAAAAAAAATCAGACTTGTGAAGGCATGAACAGAAAAAAAAAAAAAATCAAAAATCAAATGGCATTTACAGTTAAACTTACTGAAAGTTCTGTTAAACAGCGACAGTTATACACAACCATTTACAATATCTGTACAAATATTTTGCCTGCAGGTTTCGCATTTTTAAATTCATAATAACTTAAAATAGTTTTCCATGTAAAAGTGCAATTCCTTAAACGTGGACGTCCGCTGGATGACGGCGACAGAAAGGTGCTTGGGTAACCAGCTGGAAGGCATATATATATATATATATGTATATATATATATGGCGTCCGCCACAGCCGTCATCGACACACGGACGGTGTATGTGTGTGTGTGACATCATGACATCAACACTGCCACGACCTCAGGAGGTTTTGTGATTGGTTGGAACCTTGACGGCACGGAACCAACCGTGAAGAAAACATTTCAAGACTTTGGCGAGTGTTTCAGTGTAGCGGGGTCAAAGGTTAACATTTCAGCATAGCAACAACGCACAGTCTGGTAGTGTTTGAGTTCAGCGTCACAAATCCTGTTAAAGAGCCAGTATTAGTGTGTGTGTGTGTGTGTCCGTGCATGTGTGTGTATTTGAAGATGACATCACTGGGTCTCCATGGTAACATGGGGTTAGACGACAAACTAGAGGTAAACTGTTAGTACTGATACTTCATACTGTAGCTCTACAAGCAACCATTTTTTTGTTATTTTTGTGCCCCCCCTGGTGGAAGGGTGGGGAAGACGCAGGGTGAAACCCACACACTTTACTGGGCCTTACATGCTTTTGTGGTAACACGCAGTTAATGCCAAAAAAAAAAAAAAAAAAAACAGTCTTCAGGGGAAGGTGGAAGAATACGTGACGTCACCACGGCTTCCTGCTTGGACAGGAAACTGGAAATGTGTTTGGTAATTGAAGGCGTTGTCATTACAATGGAAGGAAATGACCGACTTCAAGTCCTTGGGTGCGACCGCACTCCTCCGTGACTACGACTTCTGCTCCGCTCCTGCGGCCGACTGGGCGGCACTCTCTGGTTTTAGGATCTGGTAGGTGATGAGGTACTCTGGGTAGGCCTGCAGGGGGCGGGGCAGGGGGGGTCGGAAAACATGAGAGACACGTGAAACACACAAGAAGTTATGTGGGTTCTGTCCCTGTACCGGATTAGGAAACAGGATTTGGACTCACCTGCTCTCCCCTGTAGATGACGTACTCGGCGTATGCTAGGCCGTTGACACTGGGCCGACCGATGACTGAGTGATGACCTGGGGGGGCGTGGGCCATCTTCATGGCACTGAACTGCAGGAAGGATTTTCCCAAGGTGACCCGACAGAAAAGCATTTGCCTGTGAAAGAAAAAAAACAAAAAAACAGAAGAATTCAAAAGGGTGAAGTGCCAAAAATGGTTCCTGCAGGGGGCGCTGTAGACCCCAGGCTGAGGTGGAGTTAACGGTCACCTGTGGCACAGGTAGCAGGAGCGGTCTTTGTGCGTGGGGCAGCCCGTTCCTCCGCCGATGCCGTAGACGTACTGGTTGCTCTTGGAGGAGTTCTCGGCGAAGTAGATCCCCGCGCCGAACATTCCTCCGATGTAGGCGTGACGCTCGTCGAAGCCTTTGTGGATGATGGCGTTGATGAAGGGAGAACCTGGAGGAGGACGAGATGAACGTCGAGGGTTCTTTTAGTGAGGTCCGATATTATCGGCACGATATTAGCATAATTATGTAATATCTGGGTTTGGCCAAATGATGCGATAGTTTTGGGGGAAAAATGGCTGTATATGAATGTGAAAGTCACTAGATGGCGGCATTGCAGCTCAATAATTTGATCTATTTTAATAATCAAGGGATTGCATGAAGAATCTTGGTGCTAGCAACTCGGAAATACCTAGATTTTTTTGGTCTAATTAGACAATGTTTAGGTCCAACGTTGACACCTTACAAGCATGTGTGTGTGTGTGTTTACCATGAAACAACATGCGCTCGTTGTGGTGGTTGTGGTTCTCGTCTGCGATCTCCTTCTGCCTGTGTGTGTAGCGTTCCCTCAGCTTCTTGTTCACGACCTTCTGAATCTGAAGGGACAAGGGAAAACAGTTTGTGAGACACTCCTCTGTCAGGACCGGACGACGTCCACTGGTCACGCGACCTCCGGTTCCGCACCTTGATGATGTGGTATCGGCTGAAAACGCCTCCAGCGTTGCCCCCGTCCCGGTGCTCGCGGATGGTGCTCTGCATCTGAACGAGACAATAAACCACATCAGGAAGTTGTCATTCGGGCTACGGTGACCTTTGACCTCTGCCCTGCTCACCTCCTCCTCCACTGACTGGTACTCCTTGTCTTCCGGGGAAAGGTCTATCAGTATGGTGCCCTGGTTGGCACAGTGGAATGTCAAGTACGGGTTTCCGCCTGAAAACAAACGCCAGGTCCGGATGTTAAAATAAAAACAGGAGAACTAACCCCCCGCCCCCCTCCACAAACACGACCCCCTTCTCACTTTGCTGGCCCCCCAGCAGCCGTTCAACCCCCTTGATGAGCTTGTGTCTGTGGCCGTAGGCGTTGATTCCGATTTCCTTCAGCTCCTCGTGACCCATGTCGGCCAGGACGTCCAGGGTGATCTGGACCAAAAGAAACGATCGTTAACAATCCGGGTCAGAGACCGAGACTTGAACCGTCAACCCCCTCCTCTTCGTTCTGAGCCACTGACCTGCTCCCTCTCAAAGATGTCCCTCAGGTGCTCCAGGCCCAGACTCTTCAGGAACTGACTGATGTTCATGTCCAGCATGGTCACTGTCAACCAACAACAGGAGACAAGTTGAACCAACGGTTGCTCTGCGTCATTGACGATCGCATTTACTGTTCGAAGTTCTTGTACAAAACAAAACGTCCGGACTGACGTTAAAACAAATGTAAAGGTCATCGAGGTCAAACTCAGCCTATCAGTGAACAGTCTTTTATTTTGAAAGTGTGACCTCTATGACCTTTTCTAAAGACTTTTATTCACTAGCGGTGTGAACTGGCAAGAAATCTAGCAATCCGATACTTATGGCGATACAATATATTACGATATATTGTATACTATTCGACTGGACCAGTACTGATGTATCACGGTCCAGTATTGGCCCGTGCCCCTTAGTTTGGGACCACCACTCGAGTCAATGTTCCATCACTCTGCTGTTTCCTTCATCAACAGGACTTACTTTCTCCCTCTTTCCGGTCCGTGCCTGAGGCGCCGTCCGCTACGCCAGAGGCGCCAGAGGCACTGGCGGCAGCAGCTAGCTCGGTGAGCGGACCGGCCAGGTTGTCTATGCTGCTGGCAGCGGACAGACAGGACGGTGTGGAGGCTGGAGAGATGACCGAAGCACTGACCACCGTGGCCTGGGGCTTGAAGCAGCTGGGCAGAACGTCCGGCGGCATGGCATCCATCAGCAGCGCCCGGATGTCGTCAGCCTGTGGAACAATTTACGTAGACCCATCAATGAAATTTGTTTTAAAAAAATCTAGAAATTTGCAGCAGTCGGAGAACGTAACAGAACCGGTACCGTGGCCAGGTCCAGAGCCGTCTGCCCCTCCTGGTTCTTCATGGTAGGGTCGGCTCCGTGGGCCAGCAGCAGGGCACACAGCTGTGTGCGACCCTTCTGCGCCGCCTCGTGGAGAGGCGTGAACGCCCACTTGTCCGTGGCGTTGACGCAGGTGTTGTACTTGATCAGGAGAGCTGCGATGTCCACGTGCTGAGATGAGACAGACATGAGGTCAAAAAACCAAACAAAAAAACAAAAAAAAAACTTCCAATTCAAATAAATAATTAAAAAATCTACATCTATGCTTTTGTAACAAAACCAAACAAAAGTAAATCATCAATGAAAACTTTAGTGATGTTGACAAAAAAGGAAAATCTTTAGTTTGTAGTGAGAATCAGATCACGACAAAAATTAAAAAGGAAACGCAACTTATACCTCATACATACATATATATATAAATATATATATATATACATATACATACAGTATATAGTAATATAAATATATATACAGTATATACATGGATATATATACATATACATACATTACACATACATATATAGATATATATACATACATATACATATATAGATATATACACATACATACATATACATGTATATATATATACACACACATATATACATATATACACATACATACATGTATATATATACACATATATACATATATATATATACATATACATACACATATATACATATACACATATATACACATATACATATATATATATATACACACATACTGTATATATACATATACATATGTATGTTGTTATATAATTCATAAAACATATATGTTGGTGACACTCACCCCGTAAGAAGCAGCATTGTGTAGAGGGATGAGGCCTCCTTTGTCCTGGGCGTTTACATCGGCCCCGTGCTCCAGTAAATACTCCGCCACCTCCAGGTTGTTGTAGCCGGCTGAGGAACAAGAAGAACATTTTGATCAACATCGGAACAGAGGGATCTACATTTATAATCACTGGGAATTGGTGAGAAAAAAAATCAATAACTGATGACGAAACGAAATATCGCGATATTTCAGTGTATGAATATTTTCTTCATTAGCAGCAGCCATCAGTATTTACCTGCCAGGTGGAGCGGGGTGGAGTTGCGTCCCTGCGTGTCTCTGCAGTTGATATTTTCTGGGGAACAAAGTTTCTGGACTCGGGCCAAGCAGCCCTTCTTTGCAGCATCCAGCAGGGCGGCGTCGCCCCTCAGCAGATCTTGGATGTCTGTGTCTCCATCCTTAACCATGTCCAGGGGCATGCTGCCGTCACGGTTCTTCTTGGAAGGGTCAGCGCCATGCTGGGGAAAAAAAAAAAAAAAAAAAAAAAAGATCATCCCTCAGCAAGGCGTAACCATCGACAACGGATGTCAACACTTCCACGGGAGGGCGCTGGATATTTACTTTGAGCAGCAGTTTGCAGATCTCATATTTGCCTTTGGCAGCAGCTTCGTGAAGAGGCGTGAACTTCCACAGATCTGCCACGTTCACTGAAGCTCCGTGTCTGACCAGCAGCTCAGCAACTTCGTAGTGACCATAGGAGCATGCGTTGTGGAGAGGGACCAGACCGCTAGGAAGGGACGGAGAAAAATAAATAAATAAATAAAAAAAATTGACATCAACTGCGGATTTGTTATTTATTTTGACTCAAAATGACGATGCATCGCAAATCGGTTAAAAATCGTCACAATTGCGTGACAACTCGCATTTGTTGAAATATTAAATTAATCACGAGTCACACTGTAAGGAGTAGGCTACATTATCTCAAAAAGTCACTGGTCATACCATGACACTACACCCTCCAGTACAGTAGGTGGCAGTATGCGCCTAAAATGATGGTTATTAAACCCAGAAGTCAGGTCCCTACGTAGGCTAGGAGACACTACCTGATAGTTTAGTTAAAAAAAAAAACATTGTATGGCGAACAAAAAATACATATCTTGAGTTGGGTGTAGGGTCACCCCTCCTCCCCCCGTTCCTCACCCCTTGTCTTTGGCGTGGACGTCAGCTCCGTGGTGCAGCAGATATTCCACCACAGCCACTCGGTTGTAACCAGCTGCGAAGTGAAGGGGAGTGGAGTGGCGCCCCTCTAGGTCCCGACAGTTGACGTTCTGGGGGGTGCAGAGTTGCTGTGGTGCACAGAGACAACGCCGCGGTCAGTTGATCATCTGACACCGGAAACTAGCTGCAATGTTTCATGCATAGTTGCTGGTATGTACCTGCACTGTGTCCAGGTCTCCTGCTTTAGCCGCCTCCAGAAATCTGTAGTCCACGTCAGAATTCCGCGTAGGAACATTTTCTAAAGAGAGAAATTTTACGTTTCCATTGCGATTGTGAAGAGTATCGTATTTTCCGGACTATAAGTCACACTTTTTTTTTCATTCCTTGGCTAGGTTTGCGATTTATATATTAAAATATATAATTTCACATGTTTTGTTATTTTCACATGGACAGCCGCTAGAGGGCACTCTAGGCTCGTGTACCAGTATCTGCTACTCCATGTACCATTGAAAATTTACATGTTCATTATTTTCATAAGGACAACCGCTAGCTGGTTGGTGCAATTTATACTCCGAAGAGACTTATAGTTCGGAAAAAACAGTACCAACTGTAGTGAAGTGGCAACTGTATTTCCAGTTTTTATATGCAACTCATTAGGGCAGCCCTGAAATTAGTCTTGCAGTCAGAATGACAGATGGGTTCAAGGGAGTGCCGGGGGTTACGCCCGTTGTTCGTTTGTTGTAGTAACACAGCAGTAAAGAGGAGCGACAACAGCGCGACGGTTACCGTTGAGGATCTGTTGCACAGCTTCGTTGCCCATCTGGGCAGCGGTGAATCCCTGCAGAGACACGATAGAAGGATCGGCCCCGTAGCCCAGCAGCAGCTTACAGGTCTGGATGTGTCCAGCCATGGCAGCTCTGTGGAGGGCGGTCTGACCCAGGGTGTCCAGGGCGTTGACCTGGACACGGAACACACACCACATGTTTACTCACGCTACATGTTTGCCGATACAGATTGCGAGCAGCGTCGATACAGCGTCTCGTCGCGGCGGGAGAGGACTGACCTTTGCTCCATGTTTCTGCAGAACCTCCAGGATGTCGTTGTGAGCTCGTTCGGCGGCAACGTGCAGCGGTGTCATGAAGCTGGAACGACAGTTGTTAGCATTTGAAACGCAGCAACAAACAACAACAACAAACGTGAAACATCAAAGGCCCGCTGCCGCGAACTCACTCTTTGTTCTTCTCGTTGATGTGGGCGCCTTTGCGCAACAGCAACTCCGTCACCTGTTTCCTTTTGGGGTGCGGAGAAGCCACAGCGCAGTGCTGAAAGAGAGCAGCGGTAGAACATGGAATGAACGTCAGTGCATACTGACCCCTGCTGGTGGGGTCATCTTTACTGGACTCATTATGGGGTGTTCACACCAAAAGCAAAAAGGCGCGAATTGAGCGACAGCTCCTCGACGTAAATGGTGCGACGACAGGCGGTTTAATATCAGGCGGTGCGACTGGAGATTTTGACGCAACTCAGTTCAACGCAACTTTTCAGGCACCATCGTACATCCAGTCAGCGACAACTTTTTTCCGACGTCCCCTGCGTGAAGTTCAACGGAGAAGTTCGGCGGACAAGCGTATCACTTCCGTGTGTGTAGTCGCCATTGCGCTGCTACGATTTAGCTACGAATAAAAAAAAAGGCATGGGCTAAAGTTAGCCAAGAGGTGGCACTCATGGGTAAATTGTGAGTTAAGCGGGTTGAGGAAAGTCGGACAAATTTTACTTCTCCCGCATGCCTTTTTTTCCACAGAGTGCAACAAGCGAATAAGGCTATGATCCCAAAATGATCAAGTGGTGCGATACAGGCATTTGGTCGGGTGTGAACGCTCCAATCAGAGCGGTCCGCTGACCAAACAGAAGTAAGTAAATAAAAAAATCTTCCAACCAGAGCCGTCTCATTGGTCTGGGGGTGTTTGAAGCTGATGACCTCCAGAGCCAGAGTCTTCTTCACCTTGGCCATGTCGGCCTCCCGGGCAGCCTGCAGTAACGAGTGACCTTTAAACTCATCTGCAGGACCGAAAAGGAAGATCAAAGGTCAAAGGTGTGTGTGTGTGTGTGTGTGTGTGTGTCTGACTGTGTGTGTGATCCACTCACATGTGAGTCGCTCTTTGAGCTCCGGGGTGGGGGCCATGTCCACGGCGCTCTTGCTGTGGCAGTTCAGCAGAGTGGGGTCGGCACCGTGGCTCAGCAGCAGGGAACAGACCTCCACCCGGTTCTTGGAGGCCGCCTCGTGGAGGGGGGTGAACTGCCACAGGTCCATGGCGTTCACGCAGGCGCCGTGCTACAGAGGAGAGGTGGGAGTCAGAACCAGTAGGTGAGGCGACAGGAGCTGTCGTGCCTCGTGACGCGGCGGTAAGCGAGCGTTTTAAGTATTGTGATTTTCAACAAAAAAAAAAAAAAAGAAACTTTTCCTACTTTGAGCAGAAGCTCGGTGACTTCGAAGTGACCGTAGGAACAGGCGTTGTGCAGCGGAACCAGACCACTGTGGTGACACAGGAGACACGTTAGCTTCTGGACACACAGCTGTAAGACTGCTCCCCCCCTACAGGGGGTGGTGTTGTCACTGACTCACCCTTTGTCCTTGGCGTGAACGTCCGCTCCGTGCTGGAGGAGAAGCTGAACGATGCGGACGCGGTTATAGCCGGCGGCTAGGTGGAGGGGGGTGGACTGTAACGGAGACACAGCTGTTAGTGAACGCCACCCACGCGGCTGTCGGCACCAGCAGACGGCCACGGAGCGAGCGACTGATTAGAGCGGGAAGCGATGTGACGTTTGGCAGGTTAACAGGAGATGGCGATAGGTCGATACCCCCCCCCATCCCCCCAAAAAAAAAAAAAAAAAAAAGAAGAAAGAAATCAAGCACCAGTACCAGCGTTAACCAGTGGCGAAAAGTTTACAAATATATTTTATATGAAATATATAAATAATATAAATCATATTTAAGCCAATAATCCATGAAAGCAACTGTTGACACAGAGTAGGAGTCGCAATTAGGGATGTAACGACGCATCGTAAATCGGTAAAAAAAAGACTTTTAAAAATTTATGACGGTTCTTATTGGTTGAAATAAAAAATTAATAATTTTGCACACGCATCAAGGTGTAAGAAGTAGGCTGTTATCGCAAAAAGTCACTGGTCATACCGAGACACTACACCCTCCAGTACAGCAGGTGGCAGTATGCTCCTAAAAATGTTGGCTGTGACCCACTATTAAACCCAGACGTTGGGTCCCTACGTACATCCCTAGGCTAGAAGACGTTCACAGTTCGGACAAGGGAAGGATCAAAATTGTAACGTGGACAAAAAATCGTGAATCGTTACATCCCTTGTCGCAAAGGCCGGGAAGAAATTGCGGTTGGGATCCGACAGCATGTTAGCAACAACTGCTTATTTTGACTATTTTTTTCATATTTGTATCTTTCAGATTCAGTGAATGAGTTTGGTGTTAATATCAGTTAATTTTAACGTTAATTTTTCGTAGCTGCTATCGAGGTCCAACCGTAACCTGATGCAGTCGGATCGAAAAAACAAACAAAAAAAAAAAAACTTGCCAGTTATTGAAAAGACAAAGTCACATGATTCATTCAGCCAATAAGGAAAGGTTAGTCCAAGCAGAGCAGG